TGACTTATTGAGAAGGAAGATTTTGGGCTTCAGTTGCACAGAGAAGAGGTGTAGCCACAAAAGAACCCTAATAGGCCCAGTGAATATCTGTAGCATCCTTTGTGGGGAAAAAGGGTCAAATATTTCTCCTCCCTAATAACATCACATGCAGGTGTCAGGCAGGGATGTAATAGTGTAGTCAATTAACTGATTAACTGATAAGCATTATTGAGAAGGAAGATTTTGGGCTTCAGTTGCACAGAGAAGAGGTGTAGCCACAAAAGAACCCTAATAGGCCCAGTGAATATCTGTAGCATCCTTTGTGGGGAAAAAGGGTCAAATATTTCTCCTCCCTAATAACATCACATGCAGGTGTCAGGCAGGGATGTAATAGTGTAGTCAATTAACTGATTAACTGATAAGCAAAAGCTTATGGGTTAATGCTATAGACTATATGCATTTCCCCCTCCCCTTGCTAGTAAATCTTTTAGTAGGCTCTCCAGCAGCCTGGCTCAGTCCTTGCTCATGCCGGGACCTAGTCCCATTGAGGCTCAGGAATTAAAGTGTATTAGGAGCCAGGCAGGCAGGCAGCCTGGCTCAGTTCTGGATTACACTGGAACTGTATCAGAGGCAGCAGCATGGGCAATAGGCAGCTGATCTGCGAAGGGGAGCTGGTTTTTAAACTGGCTTCCCTCACGGACCAGCTTCCACCTGGCATCCTACGCTGCTGCCTCTGATACAGAAGCAGCAGCGCAAAGTGGCAGGGGCCTGCTTGAGAGTGGAGCTGGAGCGCACTGGCTGGGGACTATAGAATAGTCCACCCCTGGGGACTATAGAATAGTCAAGTAACCAATAAGAATTCATTACTCGACTATTCAGTTAACCAATATTTAATATCCCTAATGTCAGGAATTTTATTTCTTAATATCACTCTCATGAGCCCAAGTTCCCAGTGAAAGAGGAGCCTCTGAGCCTCTTCTAAGCTACTGGTTAGAGGAATTACCCACTCAGGACTAGAAGCTGGCTCAGTCACTGCTAAAAATGGTGCTTCAGGACCATTGGTTTTTTTTTTCTGCGCTAAAACCAGGAAACTTATAATGCTTCTAAGATGCAACATCCACAAAGATCAATTTGTGCTGTGTCAGGCTTCAGATATGTTGCATACGTCACATTACTTAACTTCAGAAGAGCCACATCAGTTCTGGATATATTGTCATCAGTGGCTGTTAACGTTGAAATTCTTTGTTTTATCAGCTAAGATAACAACCTTATTAACACACACCAGAATATATTTGGAAGGATCATATGATGCTACTTTCTATCCTCATCAGATGGGGGAAAATGTTCTCTAACATATTTGTCCCTGGGCAGCCTGATAAAAATATTGACGTAATTATCTAACCGTGCATTTTAAAATAATATATACTTCAAATAAGGTGACATTCAAATGGTAGTGGCTTACTATGACAGCTTTCTTTTTCTTAGTGTCAGTTTGTTATATTTTCTGTTTTCCAATTACATTTCCCAGTTTTTCACTATTTCTGCTTCTTTTTCTTACTCATTTTTTCTATTTTTCTCCTTTTGCAAATACGTGCTTCAGAAAAATTATTAGAACTGATAGAAATTTTTATGTCCTGACTTATTTTTAAAGGAAAATTCCTTTAAGATCAAGATGAAAATTTTAATGAACCTCGCCCTCCCGCTCACATTTTGGTCACACTTTTTCATATTTCAATGATAAAATTCTTTTTTTTTTGTTTAAGAAACTTTGTTTTGATAGAAAAATCAGTTTTGCTCACCTTTCCCTCCCATTATTTTTTTAATGCAGAAAAAACCTCTCTTTGAAACAAATCAGAATTACTTGAAATAGTTTGGAAAAAATTGTTTTCATAAAAAGAAATCATGGCAAAATTTTAACTAAAAATATGTTCAGTGACAGAAGAGAATTTGAACGTAATATACTTCTACCACCCCCCCCTCCTCCACCGCAAACAGTTCTATTCATTTAACTAAATTTACTTGAGCCGGTCATGACATAGGTTTGAATGTAGTTTTAATATAACACATGAAGTTTCAAGTGCTTTAGAATAGAAATGCTACTCAATGATTCTAAATGAAAGGAAAAACTAGCCCCCTCATTCTCTATTTTCTGCATTTACCGCCCTGATATATTAAAAAATACTGTGTATATTTAGAAGGTTGAATTCATCTTCATGCCTTTTATTTAAATAAAAACAATTTTGCGATTTCTAGATGAACTTGGGGTTTTTTTAAAACAAAAACGTCTTCCCACATTTATGCAGGTTTTTGTTTTCATCTTCCATAGGACACAACAGACACCATCAGACTGCACAGATGATATACTAGACATGACAAGATGCATCCGTTTCTATAAATTCAGCTCTTGATACCCCAGTTGATTAAGCTTCATATTTGACTTACACAGTCCACTGTGCTTTTCAAAACACTATTTAGAACAGTATTCAAACAAGAAAACTACAAAAGGAGCACAATGACAGCTGAGACATGAGATTGGTCCAAGTCAACAAGCCTCTAGAAAAGACAACACAAATATTCAGCACACAGACCATTTATAGTTATGAAATGATTTATTGAGGATGAACCTGGTGCCATTTGTCACATCTGCATCCCTTTCAGTAGTGATGTTTAATCTCACATTATTGTTTGTAATTCCAGTATATCTCTGTATACTCCTGCAAATTAGCATGGTCGTGTGGTCCTGTTGTTCGAAGGATTTTGTCATAGTCAGGTAGCCAATGATCTGCTGTTAATATTACTACAATATGTTACTCCTTAAGACTCTTATACACTCTTTAACTTACAAGTCATAAGAATCACAAGACGTAGTGACTGAATACATGGGGTGAAATCTATAGTTGATAGTTTCATAACTATTTGGGGGGCTATCACTACACAACCCTCATGTATTTCAATAGGAGTTGGGTAGCTACATTCCATAGATAATGACCTAAGTCAACTGAAATCAGTCTCTGTTGACTTCAACATTGCCTGGATCAGGCTCTATGTGTCTTTGAAAATCTCAGCCTGTAAATAGGAAAATGTGCAGTCAATATATCTATGTTCTGGATGGCTGCTACAGTTTCCAAATCAACACAAAGACAGCATAGTGTATATTGATACTGAAACCCTTGATTAGAATGTCTGAATGAGAACAATTTTTAAGTAAAGTACATGCTGCCTATGTTGGTGCTTATTATTTAAACATATCTCTCCTACAGTTAATTTTCTGGAATCAAGTCTGTTTTCTAATGGGATGGGGAGAAATATAGGCATTAATTATAATGTTTTTATGTTTCCCCTAACTTGCTATGTTAACTATTGTTTAACAGTCTGGATTACATTCTGGGAGTTAGGATTTCGATTTAGCAGATAAGCCTGGTTATTGTTTGTGCTAACGTGTTTCTTTAATTTAGACTGTGCCCTGTCTGTTCCTTTAACTGTTCTGATTATTCCTTTACTATTGAACACAAATGCTTCAGTACCATGAGCATGTTAAAATAAAAGATTAAAGTTAACAAACCAATTATGTGTTGTCAGGCTGATTACTTTTAAGAGAAAAACCATTGAGCACAGATACTTGTAGGTTGATGCTATGATGTATAATTTAAGTGTCCAACAGGAAAAGAAGACAACTATCACAATTTATCTTCAGGGAGGAGAATTTTTATTAATGTATCAGAAATTGAAAAGAAAAGTTCAAATCAGATTTCTAATTTAAGAGCTAATTCTGGTTAAATTGTCACTTAGCAAGGCCCCATATTAAATGATGCAAAGTTCCAGTAGCTGTTACAAAATCACTTTTGCAGAATAAAATGAGAGAAAATTAACATTTTCTGGTAAATTGTAATATCTGAGCATCAGTATAATGCAGTGGTCTTTAACCTTTTGAAGCACGAGATCCCTTTTTGAATTTACATGCAATCCAAGATCTACCTCACACCCAAATGTTCTTGTCCCACCTCCTTTGTGCCCCTTCTCTGAGGCCTTGTTGCATCCTCCCTCCCTCCCGCCTCCATCACTATCACCAAACTGGGGCAGAGGGTTGGGGTGAGGCTCTGGTCTTGGATTAAGGGATTTGGAGCATGAGAGGGGCTCTGAGCTGTGCTTGGGGCCGGCTGTTGGGGTGTCTGAGGGGGGTTCTAGGTGCAGGCTCTGGGAGAGTATTTGGATGCAGGGGTGCTTGGGGCTGGGCCAAGAGCTTGGCGTGTACGAGGAAGTTCATTATTGGGGTAGGATTTGGGATGTGGGCTCCAGCTGGGCCCTGCTTATCTCAGGTGACTCCTGTGTGGTGGTGCAGTGGGGTTAAGGTGGCCCTGCACCACTCCCAAAAGCAGCCAACAAACTCCACCCAAGTCCTGTTGTGCCCCTTCTCATCTCTGAGGAGAAAGGATACAGAGTGGGAGAGGGAGCACCTTGCCATCAGCACCCTCCTCTCCCTCCCCTGCACAGCATGCAAGAGGCTCCTGAGGGGACAGCTCCAAGGCAAAGGTCAGGAGATGCGCAGCAGTGGTGGGAGGGCCAGCTGAAGTGCCTGCACTTGATAACAGTCTCTTGGCCAAACCAGTCAGGATCACCTGTCAGAGGCTCCAAGATCTACCAGTAGATCCCGATCCACTGGTTGGTGACCACTGGTATAGTGACTTCACCAGACGTGCTTCAGGAGCGCTTTAAGTGTAGACACATCCTTAGACTCCCTATCTCAAGACAGACCAAACTCTTTATTTGTTATGAATAGACTAATCAAATGTACCTTTTCAGCTTTATGTAAGGGTACAGGGCTCCTTTGTGAGTGTTGCACTGTACATGACCTAGAAAAGAAGAAGAGTGAACTGTTGGGCATTTTCCAGCTGTCGTTTGGTGAATATCTGAATTTGTGTGAAGTGTTTTTTGGGTTTGTTTTTAATTAAAACTATTGCAAGCTCATTAGATTTGTTTGGTCTGACCTGGATTACGTGGCATATATTAGGATATGGCCCACAATGTCACCCCCATATATGGAATACGGCAAGAAGTTGATGTTTTTTCAAGGGAGAAACACAAATCAAGTATTTGAAGCAAGGCATGGTGCAATTGGTTGTATCTAAGACATTGTTTGCAACAGTATCTTGCCCCAACTACAGCAAGGACTGTATGATGAGGAGCTGGGCTGGTTTAGATCAGAAGATCATAACTACCTTGGGAGTGGAAAGCAGGATCAAGCCAGACTTTTCTACAACAGAGAATGCAGGTTCAGCCAGACCAACAAAATAACCATGAGTTTGTGGGAAAGCCTTTCCATAGGCTACATCTCATGGCTATTTCTGTAAAGGAGAAGGGGAATCTTGGTTATGTTACATGAAAGACTGTAGCAGTGACCTAACTTTAACAGTTGACGCCTGCAGGGTTCCATGTTTATTCTGGTCCCCATCCATAATAGATCCAGTACAGTATACCAAGGGAGATTTATGGGTTTGTTTTCCAATAAAGCTGTTGTTTCATCTAAGTGCATCCTTGTGTTCCAGGAGTGACTTTAACCCATGACAGAAACCCTCATTTCATTTAGACGTGGAACAGAACTTTAAAGGATTTAAGAGGCAACTTTTCTTTGGTGGCCTATCCACCCCTTATTCAGATCCAGGATTCTGAAACCACTGATGCCACACCATGCATTCCATAGAATAAATAACAGATGAAACATTATAGACTTGAAAAATAAATACTTCTCAATTTACTGATATCAGTATCATGGAAATATAACACATATGGGAACTTCCCCTAAAACAGGATTGCCACTAGTATAAAGGTGACCATAAAAATACTTGCCACAATACCTTGGGTCTGGCATAGCTTTTCCCATTTCCCCTGGGAACTCAAACTCTCCTATTTGATCCACTCTTTGTAGTTGAACAACACCCTGTTGCTCTTAGAAGAGCTCCATGTCAGCTCTTTATTTCCTCTGTGCTGAGTAAGAGAATTAGGGTTACCAGGTGTCCGGTTTTGAACCAGACAGTCCAGTATTTGAGCTTTCTGTTCGGGAAACAAATTGAGAAAATAGAAATGAGAAAATATTGTGGAGGCAGGAAAAGGGAATAAGGGAATTTGTGTGCAGCCATCTTGGTCTTGTTAACAAGAGAGCAAGAGTCAGGCTAAGTCTGTGGCCTGACAACCTGAGATCTGTAATTAGACGCTGCCTTTGCCTCTCGCCTCCATACGGAGATAAGGATAGAATGCTGACTCTGGCAGAGACCTTGAGATAAGGAGCATCTGGGTGGAACTAAATAACTGTTAGCCATTGGTGTTTGTAATGGGAAGGAGACTAATTGTTATTGTTATTATATCTAATAGACAGTATATAAACTGCTTCATAATTGCTTGTATTCGAAGATCTGCCTCGGAGGGGGGGGGTGGCTTCCCCCCTGTCCGAACCAGTTTTTCCCTTGCTGCAGCTCGTAATAAAACTGCCTCTGGCTACTTGTTGCTTACAAACTCAGAGTGAGGACAATGTTTTCTTCCACAATATAAATGTCCGGTATTTTCTAAATAAGATGTAATGTAGATTGTGATGTAATGTCAAGTGTGCTACATTTTTGTTGACACCATCTGGCAACCCTAAAGAGAATCCAGCACAAACCTGGCATATAAATGAAGTCTCCCTTAACTACTTCACATTAGAAAGGCTCCTGTCTTACACTACACTAAATATGATGGCTAGTATGACTAGCCACGAACTCCTCAAACATATAATCTTGGGCACATTATATTATTTACTATATATTTGAGTGGGTTTGTGTGTCTGTCTCTGTGTCTGTCTGTTTGTTCAAGAACTTCTCCTAAACTATAAGTATACAGATTCTTCTTATCGTAACTTGAATCAAGATACAGGTTTAGTTGTGCCAGGAAAATGGGATGTGCCTGGTGATTGCTTCTCATAAAATGGGATGTGCCAGGAAAATGGGATGTGCCTATGACTGCTTCTCATAAAACCATGCAGAAAAGAGACAGAATCATCAGGCAGGTGAAAGGGGCTGGCTGGGGTGCCCTGCCGTCCAGAACTTCACTAACCTGGAGCCTCCCCACCCCCCAGGCATCCTTAAGGGAGGTGGAAAGGTGAAGCTCCTCCCCCCCTCCCCCAATTCATACAGGAATACTGCTGACTGTTCCCCTTCCTCAGAGAATGAGGGGAAAGTCCCCCTGGCTGGGGAGCACAAGGGGCAGACAAACCTGGACCTGCTCCAGCTGGGGGACCACGGCAGTGGCCATGGAGAGGCATTTCTCACCTGGTCCCAAGCTGCTGTCCTGAGAAAGAGCTGGGGGAGTCCTCTTTCCTTGGGGCAGTCTGCATAATGAAGCCCTCATCCCTAGCCACACCCCAGAGCAATGACTGAAAATAAAGCATGTACATTTTCATTTTATTAAAAAAAAACATAATTGAGTTAAGGACCCAAGAAGTGCTGGGTCCTTAATAAAAACCCTGTTCCAGTGCCTTCCTGGACACATTAGTTAAGATTTCCTGTTCCTGATAGGTGACATTAACAGTTTCTTTCTTGCAGTCTCTGTAGGTGGGTCTTTGTAATCTTTACACAAACACATACAAAAGGGAATAATTATTGCTATCTGGGCTAACCCAAGATAAATGTGGCTATCAATAATGTACTTGAGAGGTATAAATATGGGTGTTGCTATCAGAAAAGTGCAAATAGATTATTGACACAACTTGCTTGTTTTATTGACACAACTTGCTTCCTTTTTATGTCTGTGAATTCCATAGCTAAGAGCAGGAATTTTATTTTCGCAGGACTGTGTTTTTGTTATGCATCGATGTAAGGCGCGGCAAAGACCTTTTTTCGGAGATACATGAAAGCAAACTGTCTTTTTAAAGTATCCTTTCCTCTCCATTTAATTGATCATAAGCTTCTCTTTTTGAAGAAAGAAAAATAGTAAAGAAAGATAGAAAAATGTGAAGGAAAAAGACAAAATGAAAAAAAACAGACTTGGCCGATAGCACTTTTAGATATCTCCACACTCCTAAAAAAGTTACTAGATTTCATTCTGAATACTTTGTGACACTATTGTAAAACCTTTCATTCCCCCATGTGTTCATTTCTGATGTCCTTATCATTTGACCTATGTTTTAATCTCTCTGTGTCTTTTTGTATGGCATTTTCAGACTCAGTTTTTAGTTTGAACTTTCATAAATCTGTTTTTCCTGTCTGAGTTTATTTCTTAGGGGGGGGGATTGGTGGTTTGGTGGGTTTTGGGGTGTGGGATTTATTTTTTTAAGTTTTATTTTCCCTTTTCACTCTTTATTCATCTGTATGTTTTCTGGATTTTGCTAATCCTCCTAGGACTTCCTCCCCTGCTGTTTCTGCTCTAAAGCTGTGCTGGTTTACTCTCTGTCTCGCCTTCCATCCTCTCACTCTCCCCTCCAGCCTCCAACTGGGGAGGTTTTAGAGGCCTTTAGCAAGCCAATCTGCCTGAGCCAACTCCCTCCCATCTGCTTCTAATTGTCCTGCCACCCTCTGCTTCTATTTAGCAGGTCTTTTGTCCTTTTTGGGCTGCCTTTCTCCTACTCTGCAGCAGCCCTCTGGCCTAA